CAGGGTTTGAAACTGGGACCTATTATGAAAGGCTGATCTTTGAAAGCAGCAGTCAGCACTCAGTAAGTGCTGTATTACAATGTCATGAATTCTGCAGGGGACGCGTCCTGCATGGGCAATGGTTCCCACCACAGACAGGCTCCAATGTGACCGTGTCCTTCTGTCACCTTAGAACTGTGTTGTCAGAAACGCATGTGGCTCATTGCATTGAGCTCTCAACCCTCATTCCAAGCTCCCATCACATTCAACGATTTGCGGTTTCCAAGCACACCAGGTGCACTTCCGCGCTGAGCACACAGTCCCCTCAGCCCGGCAGCGTCCTCCTCCCTCAGTCTGAGAAGCGGGCAGGCTTAGGTCCTCCCAACAGCTTTCCTGGCCACCCAGACTTCATTAGGCATCATTCCCATTTGCCCTGTTTCCTAGCATCCTCAATCCATCCCCTTGGTGATAAACTGATATTGCCTTGTCATTGGTCATGAGTCCCTGGGTGGCACAAATAAATGCTTAACTAACTAAAAGGCTTGTTTGGATCCACCCAGAGATGCACAGGAAGAAAAGCCTGGTGATGCAGTTCTGCTCTACAGGTAAGGGCACCCTGAGTCAGAACTCAACAGCAACGGTTAGAGCTTTGCAGTCATTGGTCTATCTCCTTGGTTGCAAGCTCATAGGTGCCAGGCTAAGTACATTAGGGTTTACTATGCATCGGGAAACTGATAGAATGGGTAAGAAGTTCTGTTGCCAACCCAAAGGCACTTGGTTCGAATCCAGCAGCTGCTTCGTGGGACAAAGACGGACAATTCCTCTCGTGTGACTTACTGCCTCTGAAAACCTGCTGTAGAGTTAGCTGTGAGCTGGTTCCAACCAGATGGCGTATAACATGTGCCAGACACAGTCCTTGGTGCTTTTATGTATATTATTATCTCACTGAAGTCTCATACCAATCCCTTGAGATAAGCTATTAGAACAGATAAGGAAACTGAGGCTCAGAGACAGAAAATGATTGACCAAAGGTCACACTGAAATAAACAGAAAATCGGAGATTTTAGTCCAGGCCTGTCTCGCACCAATCCCTTGGCAGTCATGTGAAAACTTCTTCAGGACATATTTAGGATAGAGAATGCAGAGTTAAGTATTCACTAGTGGTAATTAAAAGCAAAACCCTATTGCTGTTGAGTTGATTCCAATTCATAGAAATCTTGAAAGACATAAACAGTCCTAGGGACTTGAAGGTGGTCAATCTTTATGGCTGCTTCATTTTTCTCCTGAGCAGTGGCTGGTGGATTTGATTTGTTGACACTATGGTTGATAGGCGAGTGCTTAAACCACTATGCCACCATGACTCCAATTAACTGGTAATGCTTTTGTTTACTGCAGTCAAGTTGGAACCAATTCACAGCTGACTCCTCAGTGGGTTTTCAGAGGCTATAAATCACACGAGAGAATGCCCATCTTTCTCTTGTAGAGCAGCTGGTGGATTCAAACCACCAGAGAAGCATGGCCTTTGGGCCAGCTGGTGGATTTGAACCACTTATTGAAGCTCAACGTCAAGAAGACAAAGATTCTCATCCCTGGGCCAACTGGTAGCACCATGATACATGGAGAAGAGATTGAGGTTAACAGTTATAGCTTGCTCGGTTCCACAATCAACACTTTTGGTACCAATAGGCAGGAAATCAAAAGATGAGTTGCACTGGTAAAATGTGCTGTCAGGACCTCTTAAGAGTACTGAGAAGCAACGATGTCAGTCTAGAGACTAAGGTGTGCTTGATCTTGATCCAGGTCATGGTCTTCGCAATTACATGATATGCATCAGAATCTGGACAATGACTAAGTATGACAGAAGAATTGGTGCCTTTGCGTTGTGGTGCTGTAGTACTGAACATACCATGGACTGTCAAGAAAACAAATAGGTCTTAGAGAGGGTGAAACCAAGTTTCTCCTGGAGGCAAGGATTTTAAAGTTCCATCTCACATACTTTGGGCACATGGCCAGGAGGGACTGGTCCTTGGAGAAGGACATCATGTTTGGAAGGGTGGAGGGACAGGGCAGGAGAGAAAGATCTCAGATGAGATGGACTGATATGGTAACTGGGGCAATGGGGGTAGGTGTGTCAGAGTCTGTGAGACTGGCTCAGGGTAGGGCAGGCTTCAGAGCTGTTGTACAGAGGGTCACTATGAGTTGCAGGTGACTTGATGGCAAATAACAAATAACTATAGGTCAGCAGAACAACTCCTTATCTACTAGCCCACCATAGCTCTCTACCACTGATAACAGCGAAAACTATTTTTTAAAATTATTATTCAAGTCCAACCGTACTATGAGCCCCTAGGAAGGAATCTTAATGTTTACAGATGTTTACAGCCCAAGCACAACGCCACAACCCACACAGAGTCAGTGTGTGGGGACCAGAATGTAACTTCCTGGAGAGGACAGGACTCTGGATTTGGCCCCTTGTGTAGATCTTGTCATGATGGAGGCCTCTCAGTGAGTGATGAATGGTATGTTCTCTCATACAATTAAGAAGACAGTCTCACTTCTTGTCAGCTCTGAGTGAGAATGGGGGACAACAGAAGGAGCCCAAAACAACAGCGGATGCGGCTTTTTGAGGAGACACACAGGAACCGCCAACCACCTAAATAAATGACCTCTTTATTTTACCAAATATAATTTATCAGTTTAGTTGACATTTGTCAATTCAGTTATAGTAACTATAAATAATTCTCTTAAGACACAGTCCTGTAACTTTTTAAGGATACAAGCGTAAACCGTATCGCTTCTTGCGGCCAGGCCAAAAGTACATGCGGTTTGTGCAATCAGGGGAGAAGAAACCCATCTTCCATGAAAGGTACTGACAGCCCTTCCCTCTCACCCAGTCCCCTTCCACTCACATGCTTGGAGCCTGGGGCATGCCGATCTTTCTTTTTAGGAAAGGAGGTTGCTCTAAGATCCTCTGGGAACGCATGGCCGAACTCCAGAGATGAGGAAGGGGTGATGGCTGGGCAGGGGGCACTGGGCACAGCCTCAGGGCAAGAGGAGCTGGTTTCGGTGCCTGTACAAGAAGAGTCTTGTGTGCAAGCGTGTTTTGAGGTTGAGGACTAGATGGGAAAAAATCCCGAGGGAAGAGCAGAGACAAGTCTAGGCTGGTGTTAATGAACTCTGCTGGACACAACTCCAACGAGCTGACTGCTAAGATCCCCTCCAATTCTAAGCTTCTAGGATTCCACAAGGTGGCCTGGGTGGAACCAGAGGGAGGGAACTGTCTCAGGAGGTACCAGGCGGGCCCCTGGGGGAAGGCATGACATTGGTAAGAGTCACGGTCAAGGCCTAGGCTGAACAAGTCTGCACCTACATGCCCAGATTATACATGTGTGAGGGTGGGCACAGGAGGGGCCTGTCCATCTTACTCCCACAGAAAGGCTGGTAGATTTGAACCACCAGAGAGGGACTACCTATTGGGTTAGCAATTTCAACTCCCTATGGATTACACCAGCAGAATTCCATATTTATTCCTTTTTTTTTTTTTAAGTTTCGAGTGTGGGCAAATTTCCAGTTTGCTCAGAGCAACATATGGATGCAAAGATTCTTTTTCTCCCCATTTTGTGCCAGCCAGAGAAAAGTAGACATCGCTGGTGGACATCCAGCCACTTGTTTTGAATCCTCTTTGGGGTGCCTGGTGAGTGGCAGAGGTGAGAGGGAGGGAGGCAGGGCCGTTCTGGGAAATGAACACTGGTGTTGGCTGGAGGCTGTAGCTGTGGTCAGTACTGCACAGAGGTGGGATCCAGGGAGAGGGAAGAGGCAGAATCTGGCTTGGTGGTGCAGACTCAGTTATAACGAGGACTCTCTGCTTTGTAACCGGGGTAGTGGGAGGAGGTTAGAGATGTGTTCCTCGACCACTAGCTAGTCAGAGCCTGGCATGTTCCCTAACACAGAGCAGAAACTTGATAAATATTGTTCCTTGAATGTTTCAGATCCCGCATCCCACAGGAGGCTGCATATTTGTTAAATGAATAGATGAATGAATTATATTTGTGAGCAGAAGGTGAGGAAAACGAAAACTGATTTTCATGACATGGTACGATGAGTGGTTTTAAGAAGTGACTAAGTCTAAGGTGACCATGTAGGACTATATCTTTAGGAAAAACAGCAGCAATTAATTACCCCTGGCTGCCTCTACCTCTTAGTCATTCTCCACCACCTCCACACCTGATCCTGGGTTTCAGAATCCAACCCTGTGAGCTCTGGAGAAGGTAGTGCCTAGAGATACTTAGACATGAGGCTGAACAGAGACCAAGAATCAGTCCTCTGGGCTGGGAAGATCTTGGCAGACCTTTGGGTGAACTGGGGTCAACGGTAAAGACCAGCGACTACTCATTGCCTCTTGAATATGACGAAGAATTGGACAAAAATCAAAGGGAGGGTTGGTGGTGTCTCTCACACATGTCCACAATTCCAGTGGTTAGTTCACCTCACTCCTTCTGAGTAAAGGAGGGCCCAAGTCCACAGGGCAGAGAGAGGACTAGGGTGAGAGAGGACAGGAGGCCAGAAGCAGCTGTCTCCTGCTTGGTGCTTGCTGAGGCTGGTCCACTTCTAAAAAAGCAAGTGTTAGGGCTGTATCTTTCTTTAAAAAAAATCAACAAAGAAAGAAAGAAAAAAAAATCAGGGCCTGCTTACAAAGGATTTCTCATTGGGGCCAAGCCTGTTGCTAAAGCTAAATCAAATGTCCCCAGATCCCAGACAGAATGCACCCCCACCCCAGTCCACCTGGAGGCACCCACTGTGAAAATTGCACTTGGTGATTGTCTCAAAAAATCTACTTGCACTGCCTTATCTCAGTCCATCTGTCCTTCCTGGATTCTTGCTATACAAACTTGGCTCAATGTATAAAAAATTCCCATTGAAAATAATGAGAATTCAGTATCAAAGTGAAGTCCTAGAAAGACGTGGGAGTGTGGCATGGGGGGGTGGGTGGGAGGGGAATGGACAGGAACAAAAGAACAATATCAAATAGAAAGTGCAGAGGGATGAGGGGGAACACCGAGTGACCAAACTAGTCCCCAACATCTGTGTCTCGGTCCCCAATGAGCCAGAGGATATGGAAGCTGAGAGCCAGGAGCCCCGTGCCAAGCAGGTCCCCCAGGGCTGTCAAGTACGGGATGGAGAAGTTGTCTGGGTCCAGTCCCCGGCCCCACATCCAGTGCACCATCCAGTCTGCGATGTAGAGGAGAATCAGCACCTGGAGAGATAGAAAGGCCCAGTCTGTAGCCACCCTCGTTCTCCAGGGGGAGCCAGAGGCCACTGTACCCAGTCACTGCATCAGAAGCCTTGGCCAACCACAATCTTTGCGCTGGTAAAGCCCTTCTTTCCACCCTGGCTACCTCACTGTGTACCCCATAATTACCATCTGAAGCAGACAGCAGGCAAAATGAGAGCTCTCGGAAAAGGAAGATGCTGCTACTACCTGGGCCCACCCACACCAGTGTCACATATTTTGCTGCCAAATCAACCAAAGCGGCAATCCATTGCAGCGGAGTGCATTCTGACAGAGAGCAGAACGGCTCCACGGGGGTTTCGTGGCTGTGGTCTCATGGAAACAGGTCACCAGGCCTTTCTTCCATGGTGCCCCCAGGGTTGATCTGAACCACCAACCTTGAGGTCAGCAGCTGAGCTTTTAACCACTTAAGCTATCCCAAAGAGCTTCCTTAGCCAAATCCCTGCGCTTTGGTGGCCAAATGGCAAGAAGCCAGGCTGCCATCCCGAAGGCACACGGTTTGAGGCCATTAGCTGCTCCGCAGGAGAAGGATGGGCAATCTCCTTCTGTGTGATTAAGTGCCTTCGAAAACCCACTGCAAGGTCAGTTACAGGTCGGTTCCGACTCGATGGTGCACAAAACCAACAACATTCTCGCAGAGCAGCTCGTGGATTAGAACTGCTTGACTCTGGGCTGGCAATACAACTCTTTACCACTAAGCCAACAGAGCTCCCTAATTTAACAACAGTTCTTGTAAAATTATGTAAGTTTGTCAACTGGTGGTGTAGTGCATTATTGTGCTAACTAAGAAGCCAAGAGTTTAAACCCATCAACTTCTTCAAGGGAGAAAGATGGCAAGTCTCCTGTAAATATCTGTGGTCTCAGAAACGATTTGGAGGGTTGCTGGGAGTCAGAATTGACACAACTGCAGTGGGAATACATAAGGCAGATGATGTATGTCAACTCAAAATACTTCTGGGATTGTCTGCTGCTTTGAGGTGAGAGTGACCTTGCTTCCTTTTCATAACCACAGGTAATTAAGAATCATCTAGATTAGGGCTTTGTTAGTGCCCAGAAGACAAGTAGGATCAACAAAAGGCTGGGTGTTTGTTCAGTTCAACAACTCAACTCATTGCCGATGAGCCAGAACCAACTTGGAAGTGACCCTCCAGTAGGGTTTCAGAGACTGTAAATCACAAAGCGGGAGACTGTCCTTCTTTCTCCTGTGGAATAGTTGGATGATTTGAACAGCTTGCCTTTTGGATTGGCAAATCCACTAAAGCCACCAGAGGGATGCAAAATCTCAGGGCCCCTACTCTGGACCAAGTTAGAAGAACCTGCATTTAAACGAGCTTCACATGCACTTGTAGGTCAGAGACACACTTGTCTAGAACACCCTGCTGGGGCAAACCTGTATCTTCTATGTCCTTTGACTTCTCCTACTGCTTTCTGACTGAATCTGCCTGAGAGGTAGTGGTTTCTAAGCTTCACCAGAGTCATTTGGGAAGCTTTACTCTTGAACGAACATTGCAAATACTGTGGTATACAAATTCTGCCCTAAGAGGCTCAAATGCAGGAATCAGAGCCTCTGTGGGACCCAGGAGCCAGAAGTGATACCTATTTTTAGACCAACTGGGTTGCTCTTGTGTGCTTATCCAAGAGAGCCAGAGGTTTCAGTTCCAACACCCTTTCACATTCTTCCTTGCCCTGCACAAAGCTGCCTTGTGCTCCTGTGGCCTTGGCCCTGGGTGTGAGCCAGCCCCCCATAACTTCACACCCTTTCCAGCAGCTGCAGAACAGTCCCAAATAAAGAGTGTGGTCAGGAGGCCTTTTGGGACGTGCCCCAGGAAGGGAATGACAGCAGCTGTTCCTACATTTCGGCCTCCCAAGCTGGCCCTGGGACACATGGTTGGGAGCAGGCTACAGAGGGATCAGGGAGGACCTTTACAGAGATCATGTGCCCCAGCCCTGCTTCACCCATCACAGTCCCAGAGAGGGGGGAAAAGGAAGTGTCTCCTCCAGGGTGTGTGGAATGGAGCCATCGCTTCTCCTCTCTACCTAGGCTGAGGGAGGGGCTAAAAGCTGCTAACCACATGCCCTCTGAATACTCCCTTTCCCATTCCCTATCTCATGAGGTACACTCACTTGTGAGGGAAATCCCTGCAGGGAACCAGAATCAGGCCAGTCCTCAGCTCAGTCATTCCCAAGGTGCCCTAGCATATAAGCTTTCAAAAACCAGGGCTGAGGGTGAAGAGCTTTTTAAAAGGGAACTGCTTAAATAAAATTAGGATCTATCTACATAATAGGACGAAATGAAGTCTCAAAAGATGAGGGTGGCTTTCTCTTTACATATTGACATGAATGATCTCTCAGATAAAACTGTTAAGTAAAATAAAAACAGTGTAGACCAATGTGTATTGTATATTGTGTAAGAATAGTAAGAAAATAAAAAAAAAATTATGTCTTTTGTGTTAGGGAGCTCTGCTGGCACAGTCTGTTAGGAGCTGTGCTGATAAGCCAAAGACAGTCCCCTTTCCTGACAGTGTGAATCCACCAGGAGCTCTGTGGGAGAAAGATGGGCAATCTCCCTCTGTGTGATTAAAAGGCTTCTGAAAACCCAGTGGAGGGTCAGCTATGTGTCAGTCCCAACTCGACAGTCATGAATCTGTACATGTGTGTAAGTATAGAATAATCTTGACAGATACACAAGAAACTGACCACTAATGGGCTGTATGAGGAAGGGTCCTACATCACCAGGAAGAGGTGGAAAGGGTGACTTCCGCCATACACCCTCTTTCTCTGTGTGCACTGTACTATCTAACTGTCATTACCTACTCAAAACACAACTACAAAATATGAAAAGTTATAGCAACTCTTAGCTCTGGTGGCCTAATGGCAAGAAGCTGTGCTGCAGTCTTGAAGGCATGCAGTTTGAGGTCACCACTTGTTCTGTGGGAGAAGGATGGGGAATCTCCTCCCATGCTGAAAACCTGCTGGAGGGTCAGCTATGGGTCAGTTTCAACTCCACAGAATACAACAACAGTATCAACATTTAACCTTTAATAATGAGGGCAAGTGTGGCATAAAGAGGCAGCATAAAGGAGCCTGAAGATAAATAGTTCTGTATCCTGTTTGTGGTGACGGCTACAGGAGTCTCAAATTGTGACAAAACTGCATAGAAACACACACAGAGATATATACAGAAAATGGTGCATGTAAAACTAGAAAAAACATAAATAAGCTCTGGGGTTTGTACTAATGCCTGTACAACATAAAGATACTATAAGCCTCGTTTATATGGAATTTTGCTGCTAATCCAAAGATCGTGCCTCTCCGGCAATTCAAACCCACCATGTGCTCCGTGGGAGAAGATGGGCAAATTCCTCTAGAGCCTTGGAAATCCCAGCGGAGGGTCAGCTATGAAGTTGGTTCTGACTTGACGGCAGTGATTTTTTTTTATTAATGAGCACTGTAGTTATGCAAGATGTTAACCAATGGAGAAAACTGAGAGAAAAGATTTTGTAATTCCCTGTGAATCTATTATAAAATAAAAAGTAAAAGAAAAAAAGATGGAATACAACAAAGAGGAAGAATGCAGCATAGAAATGTTGACTGGTAAAAGCTGGGCAGGATCTTATAGATTATCAAATGCAATGGTTTTGGATTCCCCCCCCCCCCAAGATGTTTTAGTCAAATAAAGTCTCCTGAAGAAGTCCCTCATGCAAAGTATAGCCTAGTAAACTCCTCTGTGGCAAGGTGGGGGACTACATGGAGTCCAGCTGCTCAAAAACTCCACAAGCAGTTGCTTGAAAACCACCACCACTGGTTCATACCTCTCAATTTAGAAGTGTTACTGTAGGGGGTGGGTGGGCGGGGAGAAGGGTGCAACAATGAATGAATGGAACTCCAAAATCTCTGTAGATGTTCATTGAAATGTAAGTAAGTAAAGTAAGTAAGTAAGTAAGTAAACAAGCAAACAAACAAACAAACAAATAAATAAGAAGTGTTACTGTGGTTCAGAGAAGTAAAGCAACTGAGCCAAAGTCACACAGCCTATCAGTGGCTCTGCTGGGACTACAGCCCATTGTCCTGAGTTCCTGTCCTGTTTATCAACAGCTAAGACACAGAGAGTGGGGGCTGAATGTGTGATGAGCTGAGCTTGGGTCTCCTCTCCCATCACTGCAAGACAGCCTCCCCATGTCCTGATGTGTCCATACCTGGAGCAGTGCAGCTGTCATGTAGAAGATGATGAAGATGAGTGTGAGAGTGGTGTGTCCACCCTGCATACAGCTGATAGTGTAGAGAAACACCAGGTGTCCTGGGACCACGAGGAGGAAGAGGACTCGGGCCGAGCGAGAATTCACATCTGGGTCCAGGGGAGAGAGGGCGTGAGGAGGAAGAGGAAGCAGGAGTGCTGTTCCCAGAAGATCTATCAGTCAGGGGGACCACAGCATACTCTAGGGTGGCAGACAGCTATCTGTCTCTGCATCTCCATCCTGCGGTTCCCAGTCCTTAGGGAGTCTCTCTAAAGGAGCTGATACAGCCCAGTGAGAGACAGGCAACTTAGGTACCTGACTCCATCTGTTTCTTAAGTGAAAGTGACTGACTATTGGCCCCTTTCCCTCCAGGGGTGGAACTGACCCAAGAGGCTCAAAATCCAACATTACCAGGGCTGAAGAAGGTGGTACAAGGACTGGGGCAGCGGCGAGGAGCTTGTTCAGAGTTTTCCCCTGGCATCCCATTCATGTGTAGGAAGGTGGAGATGCGGCTGGCCTGGACGGCCACTAGATTGCCTCCAACACCTGCAGAGACACACAGGAGCTTAGACACAAGAGGGAGGGAATGAACCACTTGTGTTTAGTCTCCTATCAGTAGAGGCTTATTAGAGGTATAGACACTTAAAGCAACATGGTCTTGCACAGAAGCAGGCAGGTATTTCACAAATGATACAGAGGAATGATTTAGAAGGTGGAAAATAGAGGAAAGCAGCCCAGCTGCTGGTTTTTCAATTGCTGTATCAAAAAGGGTGGAGGACTCTGATGGCCTGGGTAAGAGATCTGCAAGGGGCTCAACCATTGCTTAGCTCTATCAGGGGCCTTCATTAGTGTCTCTGTGGGCACTGCCACTCACCAGTCCTCAGGAGAATGAGACCCTAAGAAGGAAGACAAAGACACCCCCTCTTCCAGGAAGTCTTCCAGGCTCACACTACCCTCCCTCTATGGAAAAATGCAGCAGTCCTGGTGAGCTCACGTGTCACAGCAAAACATGCTCCATGCGCATCTGAGGGCCTTATTTTTCAGAAGTGGATCTCCACGCCTCTTCTCTGAGGACGGGTTTTGAACCCCCTAACTTTTGGTTAGTAGCTGAGCACATTAACTTTTTGCATCACTCAGGTTCTTCAGATACTGGAAACTACCCCCTGGATCCTCTGACCCTGCCTCTCTCCTTCCCCCACCCGGCAGCTGAGGTCAAGATCTCACCATTAATCACAGGTGTGAACACAGCCATGCCTGCGAAGTTGGGGTCCGAGACGGTCTTGTCCAGGATGAGGCCTCCCACGCTGCATGGACACAAAGACAGAGCAACAGCATTTCAGGCTCTGCTTCAGTCTCCACAATGAGGCACAGTGGCCCATTTGGCTTTGGGGAGGAAGGGAGGTAAGAGTGGGTCTTAGGGGTTCCTCCTCCCTTGCCAGAACCAGCTGCTGGTTCTAGCATCCTGACTCAGGAAAGTCATTGGGCAAGCTGGGGGTCTAGTTAAGCAGCATCCTCCTATATTCACCCCTCCGGTCAGCTGGAGAAGCTCCCACAGGGATACCTGCCTGGGGGATCCCTATTGTCTGGCCTGCTCAGCATCTAGTCCCTCTTCTGGTGTCAGCGCTGAGTTCTTCCTTAAAGAATCCCTTCTCTTTCAGCCAGCCACTTTGGTTTACGGACATTGTTTCAATGATAGGTAGGTCCTGGCTCACCCAGACAAAACACTGCACCATCAAGGTCATGGAGATTGGTTCAGGGACAGTCATGTGACCTGGTCACAACCAATGAAACTCTCTTCTGGGACCGTGTGGAAATGCTAGGGGAAAGAATTTCTCTCTATTGGAGTAAGAAAAGTATAAGCCTGTAACTGCCCACAGATAAAAGTATAGCTGAGAGGATAGTACTGGGCCCCCGATGATAGTGTCTGAGCCTTTTCAATAGAGTCGGAACTCAGTTATGTCTTTTCAGTTCCACCATAAGGCAGTATAACTGGTGTTTTCAGTTGGTTTATTTTTTTCCCTCGTGAAATGCATCTCAAATGGTTTCAGTTAAATGAAAGGATTTCTAGAGTTTTCTCTTTGGGGCTTTACACAATGTATGGGAATGATCATAGAGAACACAATGTGAAAGAAAGAAAGTATGAAACACAATGTATATAAATAAAACACAATGTATATGAATTTTGTATGCAAATAAATATAAAGTTAATGGGGGGGGGGAAGAGAGTTTATGGTGGGTTGAGGTGGAGGTAGGGACTCGGGCCTGGCGCCTACCTGCTGATGGCCATGGCAATGATGACAGGCTCCCAGCCCGAGTATAACACCTCCCTTGTGGCTGGGCTTCGCCGGGCCAGCACTACCCAGACAGGCAGCAGGGCCACAAAGAAGGCACACACCAGCGGATAGATGTACAGCCAGGCATCTGAGAGAGGCAGAGACCAGAGCAGGGGTGAACACTACACTCCTTGCTCCCAGCCTCCTTCTTATCCTCTCAGTCCACACTAATTCCCACAGATCAATAGCAACAGCATGGAAAATGGCCATAAATACGTTACTTTATTTGACTCTACCCAGCAGGGAGCTAGGGCCAACATTCCCATTTTACAGAAGACAAAACTCAAGTAGAAAGCTGCCCAGACACTGAACTCCTTAAGGACAGAGATCTAGGCCTCTTGACTCTGATTCTGGAAATCATTTATCTTCCACTCTGCTTCTCTGCAAGCAGATTCTAGTCTTCAGTTCCTTTCGTTTGCTCATTTACCTCATTCCTCCTTGTTGTTGTATACCATTGTGTAGGAACCGACTCATTGCTGACCTTCCAGTGGGTTTTCAGAAGCAGTAAATGACATGGGAGGAAACCGCACATCTTTCTCCCACAGAGCAGCTGGTGGGTTTGAACCACATGCCTCTGGGTTGGCAGTGCAACTCCTTAACACTAGTCCACCAAAGCTCCCTAGAGTTGCAAAAGACACTCCTCCCAACGCCTGCCCTACTGCTTGCATCAATTTGAGATCACTACTCAGCCTCATCTAAGATCAAATGGAATGAATGAAAACCAGAAGAAACCTGTGCCCATTCGCAAATGAATTCAGTTCTCACAGTCTCTTCTAGGGGTATCCCCTGGTCACACTCTCAGGGTCTCAGCCTCACCCAGTTTCAGGTAGAGTCCCCAGCTGATGCCTGAGAGCAGTGCGAGGGTGATGAGGTCACCCAGGCTGGCAGCGATGGGTGTGGCCACATTGTCTGGGTTGATCCCAATCTTTCGAGATCCAATGATGACTCCAATCATGATCATACCTGATGAGAAAGGGAAGAGGAGTCAGGCAGCGTGAGAAGAGAGGAGACATCAATAAACAAAAAGGGAGAGAGAATGGCCAATGGCATAGGAAAAGATGCTCAGTGCCCACAGCCATTCTCAAACTCACTGCCACCGAGCTGCAACTAACCCTCAGACCACCCTCCAGCAGGTTTCTGAGGCTATAAATTGCAAAACAGGAGCTCACTCTCCTCCTCTCATGGAGCCATTGGTGGACTTGAAACACCAGAGAGGCGTGGTCTTTGGGCTACCGGCACAACTAACTCCCTTCAGACTACGTCCTCAGAGTTGCAAATCAAAACCTTTGTGCCCTACGATGAGAGGTCACTCACTTCTCTTCTCTATCAGAACAGCAAAGATCAAAAAAAAAACCAAAGACCAACAGGTGTTGGCAAGGTTGTGGAGAAACTGGAATCCCTCATCCACTGTTGCTGGGAATGTAAAATGGTATAACCACTGGAAAAAACAGTTTGGCAGTGAACCAACAATCCTAATCCTATACTCAGAAGGATTAAAGGAAGGAATGCAAACACAATGGCCAAATGATGAGGAAAACCCAAATGCCCCTCAACAGATGAATGGATTAATAAATGTGGTATTTACAGGCAATGGTATACATGGTGTTGGCCTAAAGTTCGCTATTTTAGCCATTACCTTAGCTCCTTCTGGTCTTCAGCTACCTTACCTGAGACACATTGTCTTGCAAATCATCAACAGATATAGGACTAGGATAAGAAAGAGAGTGCTTCCTACGCTGAGCAGCAAGACTTAAGGGAGACTGGAGCAGGACCCTGACAGCAAGACCCTGGTAGTTAGACCTTGGTAATGGTGGGAGAAAAACTGTGGCATTGCTGTGGAAAAACTGTGGCAAGGTGTAACCAGAGGAGCCCCGAGATAAAGGCAACAGTGAAAGGTTTTTGCTGGATGATGGAAGGAGAAGCTGCTCTGGGGCAAACCTTGCTGGATGCTTTTGAAATGAAACCACAACTTTTACTAATTAAGGACTTGTGTTTTGCTGTTAATCTAGCTTGGGACTGTTGGACTAAACCTGGGTTTGCATTGGGTGATACTCTTTGCCTCCTCCACTCTCCAACTTATTTCCACAATAAACCCCACTCTTGGTACTACAACTGTGAGTCACGTCTCTGAGTCAATAATGAATAAATGAACTTGCTTAATATGAATAAATGAATACAATTTTGCTGCTACTGGTGGCTCTAGAGGCACCACGGGGCTGGAATATAGGTTCTTCATCTGCTTTCTGCTCTGGGGTGGTGAGAGGCTGTGCTATTTTCACTCTTTTTGGCCCTTTCAGAGACACTCACAGCCCTGTGGTCCCATGTCCCATTTTCTGCTCTCTAGACAGAATATACCACCCAATCCTAAGGGGAAATGAAGGTCTGATGAAGTGTTAATGCATGGCACAACATGAACAGTCCTTAAAAACATGCTCAGTGAAATTAAGCCAGTTCCAAGAGGACAAATATTGTATAATATCAATTACATGACATAAGAAAATATAGCAAAGTCTTTTTGCAGTTACCAGGGGTGGGAATGGGTGGAGGGAGTTCTGCTTATTGGGCACTGAGTCTGGTAAAGGATAGTAAAAGTGCTTGTATGAGTTGAAGCTGGTATTCAACATCACAGAAATTGCTGACATGGCATGTGTCTTGTTACATGTATTTTCACCTCCACAAAATAAAAGGGAGGAAGCAAGGGCACCTAATTTAGTCAACATCCCTGGGTACCCTCCTTCCTCCCCATCTGCCCTAGTCTTCTCTTTCTTACCCAGCACCAGGGAGGCGATGAAGGCCGTGGCCACGCTGCTGGCACAGAGCAGGAAGGCATGCGGGATACTGAAGTGGCCATCAGGGATCCAGCCAAAGATAACGGCTGCAATGGATGCCAAGAAGCCCACCACCGTGGCCTGCACCTGAGGAGGGCCCAGGAGCAGAGAGCTGCTTAGCTGAAGACACTGAGCACTTAGACAGGCCTCTTCCTGGCCCCCAGCAGCCCCAGGAGGCAGAAGGGGCTGGACTGTACAGTCCTCATGGGCTGGACTGATTATTTAGCTTCTCACCAGACACTAGTACAGGGCACTGCTCACCGCAGGTGCCCGGTACATGTTACTGGGTGAATGAATGCTTCTCTGGGGGTTGAGATGATGCTCAACAGAGTCAGAAACTTTCTTTCTTTCCCCAGTGTCATAAAGGATGAAGCCTCAGTCTTGAGTGACCTCTCAGGCAGATGGGACGACAGTGATAAACAGTACTTCAGCATTCCTGAGTCTGCTCCTGTAGCCAGGACTATGGGGCTCCAGTCCCTCTCACACCCTGGAGCAGCACAGACACACAGGATATACTGGAGCTCTCCCCTTGGTTGCTTTTTTCTGGGTAACCGGTTACTTCCAAGAGTTAATTCGGGCTAAGCCAGCTCAACAGGATGCTGGAGCTCCCTCTGCTCTGAGACCAGCTGGGTGGACCTGAGCCTTCTGATCCTGACAAAGGGGAGCTCTGCCCACCTGCTAGGGTCCCTGCTCTCACCTGGATGAGGGCCATGTTCCCGGTGATCATCCGCCAGAGCTCCTTGGGAGTGTCCATGTGCCCAATGTTGGCCTGAGAGACGGAGGCAAGGACTGAAGCTCCAGGCTGGGTCGGGCCTGCAGCTCTACCATTAAGCCCCCGCCTGGATCGGGAGGTAGGATCAGATGTGAGCCAGGACTCGGGCTGGGACATGACCACCAGGACAAGGGAAGCAGGACCAGGGTAACTGCACAAGAGGGAAGGAGCTAAAAAAGCATTCAGCTTGGGGTGGAGAGGGAGCCTCCAAGGCAGCTTCCTTTTCTCTTCTGGACACAGGCAGATTCTCCCCCGTCCTGCTTATCTGGGTAGCCCATTTCCGCGGGGGTCAGAATGACCCTAACGTAGCTCTCAGGCCAGCTCACCATCCTAGGGAAGGACTGAAGCCAGAGGAGTGTTTGGGGAAGAGTGAGGTGGCATGGGCCGGGGGAAGGACGAGCTGGGGTGAGCGCTCACATTTGCCACTCATCTCTGATGCCTTCTTCAGACTCATGGCAAAGAAACCCCTGATGCCTGGCTCCTCCAGCCTCCTGGGCTTCATTCCCTCACCTCCCATGCCATGGCCCTGCATCTGGTTGTACGTCTGAACCATTAAGTGGTGGTGGATGGGAGGAGTGATGAATTGTGGGGCAGCCCCTCCCTTTCCACTCCCCTGCAGGAGAGCATGCTGTCTTGGGAACAGGCTAGGACAGGAGGGAGGCTAGAAGGCCTGGCTCGACTCCTGCCCAGCTGCAGAGTGGGGCTGGAGATCAGAGGCGGCCCCCATCTGTGAGGGTGGAGGGGCCAGCATGGTGCCCGCCTGTCAAAGCTGCACAAACAGTCACGAGGCGGATTTCGAGGCAGGAGGTGGGGCAGAAGTCCAGGGATGGCTGGGACATCCAGAAACTGAGTCTGGGAACCACTTTGGACGGGGAGCCCCTGCCTAGGAGCAGGACACCAGCCAGGGATCTCCCTCCACCTGCCCAACCAGCCCCTCCCATCCCATGCCCACAGTCCAGGCCTGGGCATAGCGCTGTCCCCATGTCTAGCACCACCACACCACCCAGGTCCTCTCTGTGTCCCAGCCCCAGTAGGGATACTCACTGCGGTGGACAGCCGAGATGCCAGGGTCATTTCGAGGTTCCCCTTGAGCCCCAGCAGAGCAGGTACCAGGATGAAGACCTCAGTCACCTTCTGGAAGACTTCCCAGTGCTACAAGGTGAAAACAGAACTCAGGAATTTCAGTGCCAGCAAGGACCCAAGGAAGAAATGAGATCAGTGGGAAGCAGGCACACTGGGTGTCTTTCTTCCAAGAATCCTGGAATCAAAGCAAATCTACAATGTCCAAAACAACAGCACCCCTTTCTGCCACAGAGAATAGAGGAGACAGAGGGGTCTCTTTCAATCAGGAGACCCTAAGGCTGGCTCTACTCCCTCTACCTGCTTCTTCAGACATGAGAAAAAAAGGTAGTAAAGATATGCTTAGCTGAGTTGCCCCAGGCTGGTCCAACCCCCTCAACTCTGCTGTAATTCCCCCTCAAAAAGCAATGCCCAGCCACTTTTGCCTTTAGTCCAGTTTCTCTGAAGGCTCAGCCTTGGGTGGTGTTGTCTCAGCTGTTAAGAGCGGAGCTCTCCTTGGGGCTGGGGCTGAGGAGATTAGAGGATTTGTTTGGTTTCTATCTCCAAGGGCTTTGGGCCTCAGCCACCAAAACTCTCCTGAACAGTCCCTCAAAATTTCTGGAAGTAGGTTTGTAAAAGAACTTTGTATACTCCCTCTGGCTCCCTCAACCTCTTACCTAAAAGCAGCATGTGTGACCCTGTGGAATGAGGACCAGACTGAGAGCCTGGAGTTGGGGGCGGTTCCAGTCTTGGAAAGGTCAAGCCTGGCTCACCTAACTCACTTCTTCAGCTGACATCATTAAGTACCAACTAATGAACTCTGGTGGCCTAGTGGGTAAGGAGTTATACTGCCAACCGAAAGGCAGACAGCTCAAATCCACCAGGTGCTCCATGAAAGACAGGCATTCTCCTCCTATGTGATTTACAGCCTCTGGAAACCTGCTGGAGGGTCAGCTAGGAGTTGGTTCTGACTCGATGGCAATGACTTGCTTGAGTTGATTGGAGTCTCTGGGTAGTACGGATGGCTGGCATGGCGGACTGCTAACCAAAAGGTGGGTCAGGTCTTGGAAGAAAGGTCTGGCAATTACTTCTGAACAGCCAATCAGCCACTGAAAACTCTGTGGAGCATAGTTCTACCGTGACACATGGGTCATCCTGAGTCAGAACTGGCTTGACCAGAACAGATTAATGTGCTGGGCTACAGGCATTTTATCTTCCCAACACTCCTATGAGCTAGGGACTATTTTTCTAAATCATCATCTTTTAAAAGAAGAAACCAGCTGAGAGAGTAAAAGACCAGTTCATGCCAAGGGAAAAAATTCTAGGAGGTGCGATTGGCTATGGAAACCGAAATGGAAGACTTGCACAAGGGAGGCTGGCACTGTATCTCCTCACAGGGCAAGGCTATGCTTCTCTTATTTGCTTTAAAAAATGGAAAGCCTCCAGCTTTGCAAAAGGAGGGGTCCCTGGCTGGAAGATGAAGGGAGGCTGCTTAGGGACCATGGTCAGGAGACCAAGCACTGTCTCCACCAATGTACTAGACTTGGGTTTTCCACTAGAGGGCACAGTGAGGGGTCTCCTGCTAATCCTCCCCGCGTCCTTCCTCACATAAACTAGCTGAAGGACAATAGGCACATTATGGGGCTTCAGTTTCCTGATTATAAAACAGACAATTCAGGGGCCAGATAAGACAGTTGCTAAAGGTCATTCCAGCACTGATACTAGAGTCAAACATGGGCGAAGATGTCACAGGGGACTGGGGTCAGCACTAGAAGCCAGGGTGGCTGGACACTGAATGGTGATGAGCTATAAGGCAAGAAGTTTTCTCCTCCTCACTCATTCACTGCCAGTGAGTGGGAAGTGACACCTAGCGGATCCTCTGTTGGGATCCCAAGGATATCATCTGCACGGGAGATTTCCTGGCTTTCTTTCTTGTAGACAGTAGTGGATTTGAACCTCCATGGAGGAGTGGTCATGGATTATAGACTACACCACCAGAGCTCCCTTCTCTTTTCTCAGATCTGTAGATTTCTCTTTGTTGTGGGAGGAGAAAGCCCTAAGGGGAATTAAGGTGAGGGCTCACTACCTGGGGACAAAGGACACTCTTCCCTGAGTTCCTGGCCTGTCCCTCACAGGTGGAGGGCAAAGGACCCCCCTTAGGAAAGGTGCTCTCTGGCGGTGAAGGAAGGACAGACATCACCTGGCCCTTACCTCTGCAACAGTAACTAACCATTCATGGCACTTGAGGAAGACGAGTCTCTTCCATCCATGGAGGAATCTGAGGGTTTTTTTTGTTTGTTCTTAGGAGCTTTGGTGGCCTAGTGGCAAGACACTGAGCTGCAATCCCAGAGGCAGGCAGTTCAAGGCCACCAGCTGCTCTGCAGGAGGCTAGGCAATCTCCTCCTGTGTGATTAACTGCCTCTGAAATCTCGCTGGAGGGTCAGCCATGGGACGGTTCTGACTCTATGGTACAGAACAACAACAATGCCCTTAGAGACAAGGGGTGAAGAAGTCTCCTCATCTGCTTTGGAAGACCTTGGAGGGGCGGCTGCTGTTCTCGGCCATACCTGGTGTACACCACTGGGCTCCAGGTTGCTGCAGCTACCCTCCTTCCTCCCCAAACCTGACACACAGCTCCAGAGAGGGGAAGCATTCCTCTCCCACCCCATGGGGGTGGCTGACTGTGGAGTTTCTAAGAGCAGGGCCTCCCATCCCATCCTCTCTGCAAACCATCTGCCTCTCATGCTTCCAAGCTGCTGGTGAGGTGGGAAAGCACAGCTTGCAGGCAGTGGGTGTGCGCAGTGTGTGCGTACTGACAGTGAGAAAAAGCCTGGGAGGAAACACTCCAAGTGCAGGCAAAGAAGCTTCTCAGAATTGTTTGTAATCAATATTGTTATTGGGATGCCTTAAAGTTAGTTCTCAAAGTGACAGACCTCACGTACAACACTGCCTGGTACTGGTCCACAATTCGCGTTTGAGCCTACTGTTGCAATCATTGTATCTATTGCCAATATTCAATGTTATTATTACTATTTTTAAATGCGTAAGATACAGTTAAATTTCTTTGGTGACTCTACTTGAAGCACCTGAAATCCATCCATCACTCCCAAGCATCTACCCAACCTCTTTTTTTCAAATACATAAGTACCTAGAAGGTTTGGGGTTTCAGCAGGACTAAGGTCAATGAACCAAGTAGTATTTCCTTGCTCTGTTCTGACAACTGCTTCCTGGTCCAAGAATGGTGTCACATAAGCACAATCAAGTGTTCTGGGATTTCCATTCATCTCAGAGTCAGGCACAACTTACTATAATCCACACTGTTAAATGCCTTTGCATAGTCAATGAAGCAGAGATAGATATCCCTCTGGTACTCTGTGCTTTCAGCTAAGATCCACCCAATATTGGCTATAATATATAATATTTCTAGTGCCATGGCCTCTTCTAAACCCAGTCTGCACATCTTGTCATTTCTCTGCTGATGTACTGTTCCAGTCGTTTCTGTATAATTTTCAGCAAGATCTTGCTTGCAAAGAAACACTACATGGTTCAAAATCAGGAAAGGCGTACGCCAAGGATGCATACTAACTCCACACCTTTTCAATCTATATGCAGAATGGATCATCTGGGAGTCTATGCTCTATGAGGAGGAATGTGGCAATAGGATTGGAGAAAGACTCATCAACAACCTGTGTTTTGCAGATGACACAACCTTGCTTATTGAAAACTGAGGAGGACCTGAGGCATTTGCTACAGAAGGTCAAGGACTGACTGCAGACTTCAATATGGATTGAAACTCAACATCAAGAAAACAAAGATTTTCACCACTAGGCCAATTGGCAGCATCATGATAGATAGTGAAGAGACTGAGATTGTTAACAGCTTCAGCTTGCCTGACTCCACAATCAACACTTTTGATATCAGCAGCCAGGAAATAAAAAGATTAATTACTTTGGGGAAAAATGTGGCCAAGGACCTCTTCAGAAGAAGAGCAATGATGTCAGTCTAGAGACTAAGGTGCACCTGATTTAGGCCATGGTCTTCGTAATTATTTTCTGTGCATCAGAGAGCTGGACAATGACTAAGAATGATAGAAAAAGAATAGAAAAAGAATCAATGCTTCTGAGTTGTGGTGCTGGAGAAGAGTATTGAATATACCAACGGACTGCTAAGAGAACAAACAGGTTTGTCCTGGAGAGGGTGAAACCAGGCTGCTCTTTGGAGGCAAGAATTCTGCTGCTCCATCTGACATACTCTGGACATGTTGCAAGGAGGGCCCAGTCCTTGGAGAGGAACATCATGCCCGGAAGGGTGGAGGGACAGTGCAAGAGAGGAAGACCCTGAATGAGGTGGAGGGACACAGTGACTGGGGTAATGGGCGTAGGTGTGTCAGAGACAATGAGGTTAGCTTAGGATACAGGAGGGTTCAGGGCTATTGTACATAGTGTTGTTATGAGTAGGATGTGACTCAACAACACATAACAACAACAACAAGGTCAGTGATACACAGGCCAAGTGGAAGAGGCTAAGAGAACAAGGTGCCACAATAACAGACTTACCTCCAAGTCTCCACAACCCTCCTAGAATGCAGCCTCACATTGCCTGTCCCTCCCAGCCATAGCCCTGTGTTGGCACTTGGGTCATAGTAGCCAACTCCTGCAACACACATGCCCCTCCCATATCCATACCCCCTGCACACACATTACTATGAAGAGGAGATGCTGGGAAGGAAGTAAGTGACACAGAACCAGCCGGGGAAGCAGGGTGACCCCAAGGTCAAGGTGCAGATAGTGATACCTCTTCTTCCTCCTTTGGCCTAATTCAGGCCCATCCTGCTTGTCCTGCCTGGGGAGCGCCTGCGCCTGAAGTCAAACCCGTCAGCCAGGCCCAGCAGAACCAGCAGCCAAACTGCTACCCACGCCTTCCTGCTCTGCTGGGAATGGGAAAAGGCACGTTCCAGGAAGTGCTACCCCGTGTGGGTGACAGAGTATTGACAGATTTTCACTCCTTGGAAACACAGCTCCTCTTTCTCCATTCTTCTCTCTCCTTTAGAGGCTCATTAACCATGGAGATTCTGGGGCTGAAGGATGAGATGC